GATGCCGCCGGTCTCTGGGACAAAGAGCCGGCTTGGGATGGGGGTCCCGGCCCCGCTCCTGACCCCGCTTTCCCCTTCAGATCCCCCCCAACCTGCCGTGCTCCGTCACGCTGCAGCCCGGTCCGGAGGACACGGGGAAGGTAAGGTCCCCCCGTCCTTGTTGCCACCAGGCACTGGTGACCGGCCGTGGGTTGGGGTCATCTCTTGGGGGGGTGCAAAAGGGTTTCTCCGCCTCCTCCTCTGCCCCCTCCTGGTTTCCAGGCCTGCGGTGTGGACTACGAGGTCAAAGCTTTCTGTGCAGAGAACCTGGAGGAGAAGATTCACAAGAGGTGAGCGGAGAGGATCCCTCCAGCCCGGGTGGGAGCCACATCCCCGCGGTGCTGGCTGCCTCTGGTGGGTGAGGTGGGGATAGGATGGAGATGTCCTCTATGATGGGGCTGGAACAGATGATGTCCTCCATGATGGGACAGAGATGTTTTCTAGGCTGGGGCTGGAGCTGGGATGATGATGTTCACCAGGCTGCAGCTGGGACAGATTTTCTCTAGGCTGGGGCTGGGATGGAGATGTCCTCCGGGCTGGGGCTGGGATGGAGATGTCCTCCGGGCTGGGGCTGGGATGGAGATGTCCTCCGGGCTGGGGCTGGGATGGAGATGTCCTCCGGGCTGGGGCTGGGATGGAGATGTCCTCCGGGCTGGGGCTGGGATGGAGATGCTCTCCAGGACAGAGGTGTTCCCCAAGGTGTAGCTGGGATGAAGATACTTTCCGGGGTAGGGATGGGTGAGGGATGATCTCGGGGTTGGGATGAAGACATCTACCGCTGCGCTGCCCACAAGGAGCCCAGCGCTGCCATGACGTGGGGCCTGGCACGGCCGTGGGGCTCCCCACTCCTGCAGAGCTGCCTGCTGGCAGCCCAAAGCCTGGGTTCTCCTCTTGCTGTCTCCCGCCAGGAACTCGGTGCGTCTGGTGATCCGTAAGGTCCAGTACGCGCCGGAGCGACCCGGCCCCCAGCCCATGGCAGAGACCACCCGGCAGTTCCTCATGTCAGACAAACCGCTACACCTCGAGGCGTCCCTGGACAAGGAGGTGGGCGAGGACTGGGGAGGGGACACCGGTGGGGCGACCTCGGTGAGGGTGGGGACCTCACCGTACCCTCTCCTTTGCTCTCCCCGCAGATCTACTACCACGGAGAGCCCATCAGCGTCAACGTCCATGTCACCAACAACACCAACAAGACGGTGAAGAAGATCAAAATCTCAGGTGAGGAGCATGGCTTCGCCCGCCCCGGCTGCCATCCCCGTCCCCGCGGGGGCCCTCCCCGACCCCCGGGTCTCCATCTCTCGCCCCCGTGCGGCCATGACATCTGCCTCTTCAACACCGCCCAGTACAAGTGCCCGGTGGCCGTGGAGGATGCTGAGTGAGTACTGGCTGTTCGGGGACATTGCGAGGGCCCCGGGGACCTCGGAGGAGCCTTGGAGGACTCCTGCCACCATGCAGCACCTTCAGAGCAGTGGGATGTTGCATTCAGTGAGCAGGTCCTGGTGGGAGGAGTGGGGAGATGGAGACCCTTTTATTGATGGTGCTCTGGGGGACGTCACCCTTGGTGTCCCCCTGGCCAGAGATGAACAGGCTGGGGCAGGGACAGCGATGTCTGCTACATTGGGTCTGCACTTGGGATGGAGATGAGTGGAGCGGGTGACACGCCTGAGGGATGGGATGACCAACCGGAGGGACACGGACAAGCTCAAGGAATGGGCCCACGAGAACCTCATGAGGGTCAACAAGGCCAAGTGC